TATGTATGTGTATATATACATATATATATATATATATATTTATATATATATATATTTATATTTATATTTTTGAGACCTTTCCTCTTTGTATCTACTTAGAGTAGACCCTACCCAGGAATACTCATTTCTTCTCCCCGTTTACCTAACGCATCTGTTTTTAGAATGGAGTCGTATGTGGCTGAGTTGCTGCTGGTGCTGAACAGTCTGTGCTGTGGCAGTGGCGAGCGACAGGCGTGCATGCAACTGGCACTCACGCGCACGCGAACCAAGATACGATCAAGCACAACCAACAAAAACACACGCGCAAAACTCACCCACAAGCACTCACACACCCCCAGGTATGGTATGCGAATGCCGTGGTAACACGTGTATGTGGCATGATGTATGCTACCATGGTATTATGTGGGATTGGTACGGTGTATGTTGCCATAGTAACACGCGTGTTTGTTATGATGCTGCCATGGTAGCCCGTGTGTATAGTATGATGTATGCTACCATGGTATTACGTGGGATTGGTTTGATGTATGTTGCCATGGTAACACGCGTGTTTGTTATGATGTTGCCACGGCAGCCCGTGTGTGGTATAATGTATGCTACCATGATATCACGCGTGTTTCCATGGTTGTAGCTGTCAGTGTGTGTGATATTGACCCCTCTACATGTATGTTGCGTTATTTGTAGTTGAGGTGTGTGGATGTAAGACCAGCCTACTTGTCTACTCTGACATGTACGGGTATTCTATAACCCTAAAACCCTGAAACCCTACTTCCATATGCATCGTCATACATTCATATCTACACGTACATCCATTCCATGTCTGTGTTGTGTGTGCCCACTCGCCCATTGCGTGTGCTCCTATTCGTGTCGGCTGCTGTGGTATTTTCCGTGTGCTTGCTTGAGCGTATGAGTGCTTGACCGTTGACTCTCGTGTGCTTTCACACCTGCCTGCGCTTCCAGTGTTCCGCACGTCTACTTCTCCCATCCCGTTATTCCCACGTGACCGTCCCGTAATCCCCTCACCGATGCGATTCCTCTTTAATTGTCTACAGTGAGACGTCCACACCCACGTACACGTACACGTGCATCTCGGCGCTGCGCCTGCCGCCCAATCACCTCACACCTCTGCTGGACAGACTACCGTACGTCATGAACACCCGCCACGTCATGACCGGAGTTCTATTAATAGACGACAAACAGTACGACGCACACGACAGTACAGAGACCTACTGTACAAACACACACACGGATACACACACAGACACACACGCAGGCACACACACGGACAGTAGCGCAGGTGGCATTGTACGTGGCGACGGGTGTCCTTGCAGTCGCAAGTGTAGTGGAGATGGTGCTCTGGTGCCACCCGACCCGACGACTTTGCTGGAGATAGCACGCCTGTGTGTATTCAGGTGAGTGTGTGTATTCAGATGAGTGTGTGCATTCAGGTGAGTGTGCTTGTACGTACGTGGGTGGTTGTTCCAGTTTCCATCTCTGCTGTGCGCCTTTTGTATCGGTGTTTAGGGGTTTAGGGGTTTCCCCAAAACGCTAGCTCTCAACCTTGCATACCTGGGTTTATTCTCACCCTGCGTATGTATATCTGGGTCTCTGTTGTCCTGTAGATCGGCCCTGTTTGTCCTTATGAAGTACCTATTATCTCACCCTGCGTATGTATATCTGGGTTTCTGTTGTCCTGTAGATCGGCCCTGTTTGTCCTTATGATGTATCTTTATCTCACCCTGCGTATGCATATCTGGGTCTCTGTTGTCCTGTAGATCGGCCCTGTTTGTCCTTATGATGTACCTATTATCTCACCCCGCGTATGCATATCTGGGTCTCTGTTGTCCTGTAGATCGGCCCTGTTTGCCAGTCTAGTGCCGGATGAGTTGTACGTTGACTGGTCTGAAGACAAAGACGAGGACGTCACCACCAACTACGAAGCAAACTCTACGGAGCCACAGACCTTACAAGCGGTGGTAGAAGATGCGGCACCCACTCCCGTACACGAGAGTGTGGCGGTTGCCATGGAAGCAACTGAGCAGCAGCCAGAAATAGACAGCCAATCAAATCACGCAGCGGATAAGAAGCACTCCGAAGACCACGCACACCAAAACCCTCATCTGCTGCACATAGACTGTGGCGAAGGCGATGTCACACAGGCACGCATCCGTCAGTTGCTGGTGCTTATAGGCACTCGCCTATATCTCCAGTGCGCACTTAAGACCCATTCTGGCCTGGCTGCGGCCCTGGACACCCACCCATGTGCAGGTGTGTGTGTGTGTGCGTAAGACTTCTATGTGGATACGATATTGGTGCATATATATATATATATCTCTGTCTCTGTCTCTGTCTCTGTCTCTGTCTCTGTCTCTGTCTTGGTCTATGTCTCTGTCTCAGCCTCTGTCTCTGTCATTGTGTCTGTGTCTGTGTCTGTGTCTGTGTCTGTGGTGCTGTTTTTATATTGGTGCGTTTATGTGTCTGTGTGCATTTGTAAACCCTTGTGACATGGCTAAGACCTTTTCGTGCAATGCGAGGGCACTCTTGTGGACAGATCTGCACCCCAAATCATTATCCACCATAACGCAGACCCTTGAAAACCCTAAAACCCTACCCCTAGACCATCCGTAACTACCCACTCAACCATTTGCCCTATGCCTGTGTGTCGTGTGCCTGTGTAGGTAAGGGCTATGTCCGCAGGGTGATCGCAACAGACAATATCCCGGCCCTATTATCTGAGCTCCTGGTGCAGTTAGAAATGGCCTCCAAGGCAGCCAATGCCGTCGCCTCAGTGGCGATGCTCAGCCGCATCTTAGCTGCTGC